TGATGTGTAGTTGCTGGTGAGTATTTGCTTCAGGTTGGGGGGCTGTCTGTAGGCAAGGACTGGCCTGTCTCCCAAGGTCTGTGAAAGTGAGGAATCGTTCTTCAGGATTGGTTGTAGATCCTTCATGATGCACTGGAGAGGTTTTAGTTGGGGGCTGTAGGTGATGGCTAGTGGCGTCCTGTTACTTTCTTTGTTGGGCCTGTCTTGTATTAGGTGACTTCTCGGTACCCTTCTGGCTCTGACAATCTGTTTCTTCACTACACCAGGTGGGTATTGCAGTTTTAAGAACGCTTGATAGAGATTCTGTGGTGTTTATGTGACCACCGCTTATTAGCACTGTAGTGTCTAGGAAGTGGATCTCTTGTGTGGACTGATCCAGGCTGAGGTTGATGGTAGGGTGGAAATTGTTGAAATCTTGGTGGAATTCCTCAAGGGCCTCCTTCTCATGGGTCCAGATGATGAAGATGTCCTCAATGTAGCTCAAGTAGAGTAGCGGCGTTGGGGGACGAGAGCTGAGGAAGCGTTGTTCTAAGTCAGCCATAAAAAATGTTGGCATACTGAGGGGCCATGCGGGTACCAATAGCAGTCCCACTGACTTGAAGGTATAAATTGTCCCCAAATCTGAAATAGTTGTGGGTGAGGACAAATTCACAAAGTTCAGCCACCAGGTTTGCCATGATGGTATTGGGGATGCTATTCCTGATGGCTTGTAGGTGGAATGTTGGTGTAGAGGGCTTCTACATCCATAGTAGCTAAGATGGTGTTTTCTGGAGGATCACTAAAGGATTGTAGTTTCCTCAGGAAGTCAGTGGTGTCTCGAAGATAGCTGGGAGTGCTGGTAGTGTAGGGCCTGAGGAGAGAGTCTACATAGCCAGATAATCCTGCTGTCAGGGTGCCAATGCCTGAGATGATGGGGAGTCCAGGAGTCCCAGGTTTATGGATTTTTGGGTAGCAGGTAGAATACCCCTGGTTGGGGCTCTACAAAAAGAAGGATTCTGCGTGGACTCCTCTTGAAGGTCGAAACAACAGACTGGACTTCTACATAGAGTGCTTCCGTCGACGTGCACAGGCAGAAATTGTGGAAAATCAACATCACTTGCCCCAAAACCTCAACCATGCAACACAACGCCATCCACAGCCTCAGAAACAACTCTGGCATAATAAAAAAGGCTAACAAAGGACGTGCTGTAGTCAGCATGAATAGGTTGGAGTATGAACAAGAGGTTGCTAGACAACTCTCTGACACCACATTCTACAGGCCATTACCCTCTGACCCCATTGAGGATTACCAACAGAAACTACATCATCTGCTCAAGAAACTTCCTAAAGAAGCACAGGAACAAATCTACACTGATAAACCCCTAGAGTCCTGACCAGGGGTATTCTACCTGCTACCCAAAATCCATAAACCTGTGAATCCTGGATGCCTCATCATCTCAGGCATTGGCACCTTGACAGTTAGCTTTTTGGATAGTCAGGTCGCTGGAGTTCCTTTGGAAGAATCTTTCCTCTTCCTCCTCCTCCTCCTCCTTCTTCGTTCCCAGTCTCCACAGGGGATTACCTTCCTCAGGCTTCACTTCTGACTCTCAGCTGTGATACCGCTGTTTGGGCTAATGTTGCTTATTTAGTCTCCTTGGGTGTCAGGCAGCAACCACTTTAGGAAATACAGCACATGTCCGGGGCCTCTTTAATGTCCTTTCCCATCATTGGTGTCTCTCATTTTCCCCAGTCCCAGAACTGGACTCCATCCTTGCCCCAAGAAGAATTTGGCTGGCTATATAGTACCACTGGCCTCCAACCTGTGGATGTGCCAGGGCTCTGGATTTGGTACCTATAACATAAAATATGCTATGACTTGGGAATTTTTATGACACATGTTTGATAAGTCAGTTGAGGAATAGTCAGGAATGAATTATCATGCCTGCTTTCTTGCAGATATAAATGCTGTACATGACCTAAACAATAATATTTTTTAGATATATAGTGCCAGCTGTCTTCAGTATTTTTTTTCTGTGACACTTCTCATGTTTTGTAAGAATTTTCCATTCATGCAGCTGCTGTTTCTATGCAGTTGTCTTGTTGCTATGTGTGTGCACATGTGTGCTTATACGATTAGTTAACTAGACATGATCGTGTTGGTGACTGAAATATCTCTGTGGTAAAAGGCATAATTTCAGAAGTAGGTGTGATGATCTAAATTAAATTAACTCTAAACAGGTGAAGATCAGCAAGGTTCACTTCACCTGATTTAATCAAGTCCATCAGTTTGAGACAACAATGAGGTCTGTAGTGGGAGTGAGGTGGGCAACAACAGAGAAATGCTTATGCTAAAAGAGGCCAGATATGAGAATGATGTAACGTAGCCAGAAACTTCAAGTTTAATAGTTTAACCCTGCTGCCATACACATCTAGTATTATCCACATTCATCTTGCCCTTACCAGATATGTCAAAATGATATGCAGCTTACGTAAACAAATTCTACAGTATGTTGTTGAAATCAGTATTTAGACAAGTAAAATATTTAGTTAAATGTGAACTGGCACTAGTGGAAGTAATTAATGTGTCTGTTTATAAATGTCTGATTTTCCCCCCCCTTGTGTATAGGTTTAATTGTTTGAAAACAAATTTGTTGTCTTTCAACACTACTTGGATCCTGTTTGATACAAATTCAGGTGGTGGGTCTCAGTAAACACCAAATTATTTATATTGCTCTGGTTTTATGAAGATGCTTTAGTTTTTTTCTATGGGAAAAATGAAGCAGTGAGTTATGTTAATTAGTGCCTTCTCCCACTCCCAAATTAATGGACTCCTCCCCCCAGCTTCAATGGGAGCTCAGTCTGATCTTAAGTGAATACGGAATGCATTGAAGAAATGCCTAATTTATCTGTTGAAAAGATAATGCTAATTGCTTTATTGCTGAGGGTCATTCCATGATGCATTACTGGGAAAAGGATTTGAGAGAGGGAAACCCCATGTTTGAATCTTGGGATTAATTTTTAAGATTGATTTAAGCATTCCTGAGGCATATTCATCAACACAATATTGGAATATATTTAACACATAATTGTAGGGCTTTCTGTTGTCTCTTTCTTTCAATATCCAAGAGATTATTTTTAAAATGTTGGTTGCCTAATATTAACAATATTTTTAAAATACAAATGTGTATATGAATATAGCTTAAAACCCCTATAAACCTGTGTATCCCTCTTGCAAATACAATAGAATTCAATAAATATACAAGTCAATTTCCTACATTACTCCTGGGGGAATTCTGTGTCTAAAATAAAAAATTCTGTGCACAATATTTTAAAATTCTGCAAAATTCTGCATATTTTATTTGTCAAAATAACACAATATAATCACGCTAGTTTGAATTATTTTGGTAATTTATTTCAAAATACCTATCAGCATGTAACAATACAGACAACAAAAGATTCAGAAATAATTTTTTGACAAATAGATTCCTTACTAGGCATATTAATACAGACCTTGGAGTAATAATTCATTTAAACTACAATACAGAAACTTGTTTCCTGCAACCCTCAGAAGCAGTGCAAAGGCTTGGGGGAGTTAGGGGTAACGGAGGAGCTGAGGGAGAGGGAAGGAGCCTGGGAGTGAACCTGGTGGATTGTTGGGTGTGGGTGGGAGTAGTATGGAACAGTTTTTTGCAGGGGGAGGGATTGTTAGAGAGTTGGGGAGCCTCCCGCATGCAGACCCTGGCTGACCCCCTAGTCTCTCCCATTCAGTCAGGCACATCTGTCCCTATGTTTTCCTGCAGCCCCCTTCCTCCTGTCCCCATGTGGCCTGGCAGCCCCACTCTCATTCAGCCTTGTCTCAGTGTTGTCACCCCACTAGTTCCTGTGCCCATGCCCCACTCTGTTCCTCCCACTAACCCTTCTGAAACCCAGTTTGTGTAGCCCCCCCAGCAACCCTGTATGCCCCAATCTGTCCGTCTCCCCCATATTTTGTGCCTCCTCACCTAGCCATGCTATGCGGTAGGCCGCCTCTAACCCCCAGCTGCCCTCTCTTCTGGTGCCACAGCAGCCCCTGGTGGACAAAACGTATAATTGCAGCATCTCTCCAGCAGAATGTATGTTCTGCGGGGGACATGAATTGTGCTGAATGTATGTTCTGCGGGGAACAGTGCTACAGAATTCCCCGCAGAGTACCATATATAAATACTCTCACAGAACCCCCCTCCCCCAAAAAATACAAATGGTGTTGAAATTACTCATTATCTTCCACATAGAAAAGATACTGTACAGGAAAAGTCTAATACAGAGTTGCAGAATTACCTGTCTAGGTGAAGGTGTTACCTTCTTTTGAGTTTCATGACTTCTATAACTATTTTCATCACTGGTTTTCTCTTATTTTATGTTGTTACTGTTTATGTATATACTAATGGGCCAGATTCTGATCACTGTTACACCTGTGTGCATCCAGCACAACTCCTTGAGTTACCCTTTGATTACATTGAGTGTAGTTTTGTTGGTATAGTTTAGGAGAATATTTTTTTTTAAGGAGCTGTTTTATACCAAATTAAAAGTACCAGTTTCATTGTTTCCCATTAGCATCACTCTGATCCCTGCTGGTGATCTTTTTCTTAAAGTGTCTTTTTCCTCTTCCTTACAGTAATTGCTTAGAAATGATTGTCACCTAAGAAGTCGGCTATGGCAAACAGGAAACGTCAAAGCACTACAACCGGCATGCTGGATCACAGGGTGATACCTTGCCCTACTACATCTCACCACAGGGAGCCTGAAAGTGAGGAAAATGACCTGCCTAGTGAAGATTACATAGCAAAGGAGGCAGAGCTAACAGCTGTCAGAGAAGGTAGCCCTACCCCTGTGGAACACGAGTGCAATGATAATAGTGGAGATGGCGATTCCAGCTCCGATTATGTGAATAATACCTCTGAAGAGGAGGACTATGATGAAGGCCTGCCAGAGGAAGAGGAAGGGATCACATACTATATTAGGTATTGTCCAGAGGATGACAGTTATCTGGAAGGAATGGACTGCAATGGGGAAGAGTATGTGCCTCATGAAGAACACCAAGTTGAAACTGATGAATGTCAAGAAGCTGTGGAAGAAGAATGGACAGAAGCTAACATTCAGCACCATGATGAAAGTGAAGTGACTGAAGGGCAAGACTACCAAGATAACTGTGTTCAGATTTTGGAGGATGAAGTATCTTCTCTGGAGATTCAAGACCAAGAAGAAAACATACAATACTGTCAAAATGAAGAAAGCTATCAGGACTATTATCCACCAGAAGCTAATGGAAACAGTCATGGGATGTCGCCCTACCGTTCAAGGAAAGAAGATGCTGAGTTGGAAGAGCAGGAAGAAGACATTGACCAGATTGTAGCTGAGATTAAAATGAGCATGAGTATGAGCAGCATTAACAGCACAACAGAAATGAGCCCTGAGCATGGCGGGACTGAAAATGTGCAAAATGACTATAAAGAGACTTGTCCAAAAGGTGATGCTGGTCATGAAGGGAGGCCAAAATCATTGAATATTCCACCTGCTTCAAAGCATGTTGGAGATATGCCTAGAGGTTTTAAAACAAAGTCAAGAACTCCAGAAGACAGACAGAAATGGCCGCAAGAACAGGTATGAGGCTCTATTTTTTAATAAGAAAACTATTTATCATGTAGGTCAGAGGTTCTCAAACTGTGGTCCACGAGATCCATTCAGGTGGTCCATGGATAGTTCCCTCTAAGGTTTGCACCTGAACGGCTGCACGTGAGAGAATGAAGGGCCACCCACCTAATTAGTGGAGCCGCACAAGCATGGCTCCACTAATTAGGTTCCTGGACCCTGGAGAAGATGCACATGTAAGGTGAGATGGTGGCTTTGGGGGGAATAGGGGGTAGATGGGAGGGGCCAGTGGGGTGAGAAGAGGGGGTGGGGAGAATTTGGAACGTGCAGGGCTGCGGCGGCCATAGCCAGAGGCGACTTTCCCCAGCTCCAGGGGAGAGACGGCGCTCCTTTCCAGCCTCAGCTCTGTGGCTGCTGTGGCGGGGGAGATACCCCCCTCTCCTTCCTAGCCCCAGCTCAAGGGCTGCCATGGCAGGGGAGAGAGGGAGAGACCTCCTTTGGTCCCATCCCCAGCTCGGGGGCTGCTGCGGCATGCGAGAGAGGGCGCATCCATCGCATTAGAAAGGTAAGACTACTGATATTAAAAAACGAGTTGTGTGCTTTTATTTGTAGAACAAAAAAGCTTTAATTATTAAGGGGTTTTTTTATATAGCACTTTTATCCAAAGCGCTTTACAATAGTTAGCTAACGGTACAAACAACATTTGGAAAGATCATTAAGTGGTTCGCCAAGACCCTCAGCAATTTTCAAGTGGTCTACGAAAAAAAAGTTTGAGAACCACTGCGATAGTAACTTCTTGGAGACATTATGCAAATGGCATGTCACTAAATTGTGTCTCTCAAAAATAGATGAAAGCAAAGTTAAAGCAATATTTGTTCTGCGTTACAGTCTTAACTCTACATCTACAGTATTCAATAAATTGAATTTTTTAGAAAATTGGTCTAGATAAAATCCATGTGGGTAAATTAGCAGTATTATTAGAAAACTGGGTTTTTTGTACAGTGACCAGACATCTTTGGAAACATTATCATGTCTTCTTTAAATAAGTTACCAAACACATCAAGCAAAATAGTCTGGCAGTGATGTAGATACATCAAGCATTTTCATTATGATTTTTTCATATGTCAATGGCATGCCAGCAATGAGGTCAGAACTGAGGGCAGAACAGTGAAGTGGTTAATGACATTAGTTTTGGTGAAGGGCAGGTTAGTATGCTAATGACTGATTTTCAGTCTTTTGCTTTCTTGTCCCTGGAGCCTGAATGTGGGTAAAGGGAGGGTGAATTGTAGGTCATGTCATAATTAATCACAGGAGCTGGTACTATAGTCTCGTTCTTGGCTAACAGGCCTCCATGCACCAGGGTCACCATAACAATTTTTGTTTTGTGGAGGGGGACTAAAAATAATGTAAAAATTGGCCTTTAATGAACAAATGTACTGAAGCCTTCTGACTGGATTGCCCTGCCTTATGTTTAATGTTAGCCAAAAGCAAGTTACAGTTCTGTCTGGATGGGAAAACCTCATGCTGGAGCAGACAGTCTTCACATTAGCTCACTACACTAAAAAACAAACGCACAAATGTTTACTTTCTACTAACATTTGAGGATAACAGATACTGAAAACTATTAGGGTGGCCTTGCAAGCTTGTCCATTTGCCAGAGTTATTACCATATTTCAAAACTGTAAGATGTTGGAAATAAGAAAGTATCATTCCTATTTTTGGATTTACAAGTTGATTTTATTTTCAGAAAATTGTGACATAGGAATAAACCAGATCTGTTGAATCAATGAATGAAGCCAGCTTAGTATACAGTATTCCTTTTACAATGAGCAATTCTGATGTGCCAATGAGATTTTCTTTTAAAAAGGTGTAAGGGTAGTATATTCAAGAGGAAAAGTGAAATAGTTTCATTTTACAGTGAGAGAAATCCTTTCAAAAAACAAAATCCCACAAGTAGACGGGCATTAAGGACTAATTCTAGTGCAGTAATGCGGTCCCTTTTCTGTTCCTGTGTGGAGCATTGGACAGAAGAAGTGAGACTCAGGCTCAATACTTCAGAAGAACTGTGGTATTCAAAACAAAACAAAAAGAGATGTTGTTTGTTTTTCTTTAAGGGACTTAAAGGGACTTCTGATTCTTTTTAAAAAATAATTTGTATTATTTACTTAGAAGCTTACATTCTTTAATATTGTGTTTCTGCTTCTCTCTCTGTAGGAGCCAGAATCTGTAATTATAAAACCCTGAATATAAATATATAGCTAAGTATTTGTTTATGGTGAACAGAGAGCATGTATTTTGATGACCACCTAATATATATGCTTGAATAAGTTTTTTTTAAATAACAATTTTAATTAAAAGTTCTTTATTAAACTTCAAAAGTATAAATGTTCTGTTTCCCCTCACTGAAGTGATCAGTATGGAAAATCATAATATTGAATTAAGTATTCTATGGTTAATTATTTAACTAAAAATAAATTAACATAAATGATTCCACTAAACACTGTGAAATTGTGCAACCATATTCATGTTCAGTGACACCTCTCACATAAACTCTGCTAACCAATATCACTAAGAGTTGCACAATCTGGTCATTGATGAGGGGGAGAATAATTACTGGACAAGATTTAAAATGTCTGATTAGATTATTTTGCAATCAAATGACAGAAAATTCATTTCACGTGGCCCAGTTCTTTCTTAGGCGATTCTTCCATTGCTGCCATTGAGAATATTGCCTGAGTAAGGACTGCATGATTGGGCCGAATAGTCTTTCAAAGCATGTTGTCACGAACTGCTCATGAATAAGAAAACTACTGAATTCCTGGTTTGAATATGAGATTGTGAGCCCCATTGTACACATATTAATCATGTCAGATTACTAACAAGTGGGAGTTTTGGAATGCCAGAAAATTGATATTATAATTGCCTCTGCTGTGAAAATACACAAAGAGGGGCTGCCTGTCTGAGCTTTAACTTAGTGCTATTTCTATTCAAGATTGGGATCGATGCACTGAAACCTTCCCGTGTAGTAATGGAGATTGCATTGTGGTTATTGATACCATGTCTCATGTAGCAGTAATACGTTGTGCACTGCTTTTCCAAATCACTTCTCAGACAAAACTATTGTCAAGAGAATGTACAGGGCATTAGCACTCACAGTATTTAATTGATGCTGAACCTTTCTGTTCAAATATTAGGCTATGTCTACACTACTCAGCTTTTAGTGACAGGGCTGTTGCCACAGCCGTGCCGCTAAAAGTTGCGCAGTGTAGCTGCTGTTCGTTGGCTCTCCTGCTGACAAAAATCTTCCACCCCCAACGAGCAGCGTTTGCGTTGTCGGCAGGAGAGCGCTCCTGCCCACAATGCTCTGTTCACACTGGCACTTGTCGCGGTAAAATGTTTGTCTTTTAGGGGGGTCGGGGGAGGGTTAACTCCTCTGAAAGACAAAAGTTTTGTCATTCAGTTGCCAGTGTAGACATAGCCTTAGCCAGGAGAAAGCAGATTAGGATTTCTGGCCAGATATACAGTGATAAAGGGGTCCACTTCAGGTAAGAATGAAGTGATAAATACCTGGGGAGTGACAGAGTCAAGGGATACTCTTTATTTGCAGCAGAAGAGGTAGTCATAGAGGCAAAGACATTTCTATTGAGGACAAAGCTGACGGGGTTTCACTGAGAACAGAGGGTATCAAGACCATTAGAGCAGAAATGTGTGGTGTAGCATTAATTATGCTAATACAAACCCTCACAGAAAGGAAAGCTTGGAGCAACACTTTCCAGGGACAAAAGGCAGGGTTAAAAATCAAATCAATGTATATTTGACTAAACAAAACTTGGTGTTCAGAATTTGAACATGTTTACCACTATAAACCTTTGGCCTGAGCTTGCACCAATTGCACATGTTGATCACCTTTAATTCCAATTAAAGTCAAGGAGAAATAGGATCAGGCTTCCTACAGGGGTGTGTGTGAGTATAAACGTTCTGAAGTGCTGCATTGGTATTGTCAGTTCTCAAGAGCCATTTTAGGACCCTGTCCTGCAAAGGGACCT